ATTATAGTATTAGAGAGAGACAGAAAAGAAAGAAAGAAGAGAAAAAAGTAGGTTTTATTTAAAATTAAAGAAAAGGAAGAATACGCAAAAGACAGGGAGAGAAAGAGATAGACAGAAAGAAAAAAGGAGAAAGAATATAATATTAGGTAATAATATTGTTTAATATTATCATTTAATATTGTTTGTTAAATATTATTAATAAAGATTATTAAATATTATTAATATTATTAATATTATTAATATCATTTAATATTATTAAAGTTAATTATAGTATTAGAGAGAGACAGAAAAGAAAGAAAGAAGAGAAAAAAGTAGGTTTTATTTAAAATTAAAGAAAAGGAAGAATACGCAAAAGACAGGGAGAGAAAGAGATAGACAGAAAGAAAAAAGGAGAAAGAATATAATATTAGGTAATAATATTGTTTAATATTATCATTTAATATTGTTTGTTAAATATTATTAATAAAGATTATTAAATATTATTAATATTATTAATATTATTAATATCATTTAATATTATTAAAGTTAATTATAGTATTAGAGAGAGACAGAAAAGAAAGAAAGAAGAGAAAAAAGTAGGTTTTATTTAAAATTAAAGAAAAGGAAGAATACGCAAAAGACAGGGAGAGAAAGAGATAGACAGAAAGAAAAAAGGAGAAAGAATATAATATTAGGTAATAATATTGTTTAATATTATCATTTAATATTGTTTGTTAAATATTATTAATAAAGATTATTAAATATTATTAATATTATTAATATTATTAATATCATTTAATATTATTAAAGTTAATTATAGTATTAGAGAGAGACAGAAAAGAAAGAAAGAAGAGAAAAAAGTAGGTTTTATTTAAAATTAAAGAAAAGGAAGAATACGCAAAAGACAGGGAGAGAAAGAGATAGACAGAAAGAAAAAAGGAGAAAGAATATAATATTAGGTAATAATATTGTTTAATATTATCATTTAATATTGTTTGTTAAATATTATTAATAAAGATTATTAAATATTATTAATATTATTAATATTATTAATATCATTTAATATTATTAAAGTTAATTATAGTATTAGAGAGAGACAGAAAAGAAAGAAAGAAGAGAAAAAAGTAGGTTTTATTTAAAATTAAAGAAAAGGAAGAATACGCAAAAGACAGGGAGAGAAAGAGATAGACAGAAAGAAAAAAGGAGAAAGAATATAATATTAGGTAATAATATTGTTTAATATTATCATTTAATATTGTTTGTTAAATATTATTAATAAAGATTATTAAATATTATTAATATTATTAATATTATTAATATCATTTAATATTATTAAAGTTAATTATAGTATTAGAGAGAGACAGAAAAGAAAGAAAGAAGAGAAAAAAGTAGGTTTTATTTAAAATTAAAGAAAAGGAAGAATACGCAAAAGACAGGGAGAGAAAGAGATAGACAGAAAGAAAAAAGGAGAAAGAATATAATATTAGGTAATAATATTGTTTAATATTATCATTTAATATTGTTTGTTAAATATTATTAATAAAGATTATTAAATATTATTAATATTATTAATATTATTAATATCATTTAATATTATTAAAGTTAATTATAGTATTAGAGAGAGACAGAAAAGAAAGAAAGAAGAGAAAAAAGTATTTGAAATTTGTGACAATCAAACCGGCAAATTGAAATCTAAATTTAATTCAGTGTGGAGAGATATATGCGCAACATGGGACAATCAAATGAAACCTTTTAATTTATAATTTTATGTCTATCAAAATCGGCATAATGTTTTCAAAACATATAAAAAGATGAAAAACGTGATTAATTTCAATAACTTTACGAAAGAAATTCTAAGTGAAACTGATGACATTGATATTTCTGACTTGTGTAATGATAGTAATAGCAGTAGCTTCGACAGTTTTGAATGGAATACGCAACATCCATGTAATGATAGAAAAATTCAATTTATAATTGTTTCATCAAAAGAACAATGGTTAAATATCAAACCAGAAGAGAAAGTCAATAATAGAGGAGAAATTTATTATTCTTTGAAGAATGGGTGGACACATATCTTGTCTGAATTAATTTTTCTACAAGAAAAATTACCATGTGCGTATTCTTTCAAGAACCAAAAAGTAATACACGCGAACTGTTATGCTACAGATTATATTGTAAAAATAAATGGATTTTGCAGTGATCATAATTGTAAAGCTCAAATTTATGGGCAAGGATTATTTCAGTTTACCAATGATGATGATATATCGCTCGAATTTGTTACCTTAGATACTGAAGATTTATTACACTCCAAAAAAAGATGTGTCCGTAATTCGAAAAACGTCGTTTAAAAAGCATTTAAAACATAAAAAAGCCGATGTATTTAGAAGTGAATTAATTAGAAAATATCATAAATATGGCGATCAAATTGGTCCTTTGGTACCAAATAACAATGTTATTAATGGAGTGCGTTTCGAGGCTAAAAATGAAGAATTCGGTGTTAAAGATAATGTATGGAAATCGCTTGAACATTTAAAAAGTGACGTTGAATTTAGTCGTGCCATTAAAACAAACAGGCTTTGATCAATTTTTTTTATGTATTGGACACCAGAACAAATTAATGTTTATAATGATGTGATAAAACTTGGTTCAACTGTTTCTATTGACGCGACAGGGAGTGTTGTCCGTAAAATAACACGTTCGGAAAATAATTCTAGTAATCACATTTTTTTATATCAAATAATTACTCATGTTCAAAACATTATAATACCATCTGGTCAACTTCTCTCGGAACGACAAGACACTCGAATCGTTGAATTCTGGTTACGAGAATGGATTTCATCTGGCGCACATGTTCCTTTAGAAGTAGTCACTGATATGTCAATTACACTTCAAAATGCGATTACTTTAGCAACTAATGGAATATTTTATAAAAAGTATTTGTCAATTTGTTATGATTTTTTAATTGGAAAAACTCAATTTGTACCACGGCCATTCGTTCGAATTGATATTGCTCATCTGATACATTGTGTTGCTAGACTGAAATGTTTATCTCGTGCAAAACCAGCAGTAAAAGATTTTTATTTACGATGTATAGGATTTATGACTACAATTGAAAAATTTCAAGATTTAGAAAAATCTATGAAATCAGTTTTGATTGTCAGTCAAAACGAGAGTAAATGTTATGCAGAAATTCAGTGGATTTTTAAAAGGATTGAAACTTTCAAATTTCATGATTCCATTGATTATAAACAGATAAGACAGTCTAATATTTGTGAAAATGGCAATAATTGTACAGAATACATTTCTTGTAATGATGGAATTGATGTATTTTCCGCTGTGACAGTAGATCATAATTATAACTACAACGTTGATAATCTTTCGCTTTATATTGATCAAATAGTAGAACAAACGTATTCAGAGCAAAATTCAAATATGTCAATTAATTTTAATGATATGAACATGTATTATTTTCCGGAAATTATCAATGATTTGAAACGTTTATTTAAACAATTTCCATCGTGGACTAATGTTATGTTGAACTGTTTTAATTCAAAAAATACTGTCGCAACATCTGCTCGATCCGAAAATTATTTTCGTTTTATTAAGGAAAATCTCTTAGAAGAACGTCAACAGTGCCGATTTGATAAATTTTTTATAAAACACGTACGAACAATAGGGTATTATAACGTTTTTCAAAAATATTTTTTTATTGAAGTTCATACCCTATTTAGTTATTAAAATTTTTTTCGTTTGCTTCAAAACGTTCAATTTGTATTATTTTTAAATTATTTAAAATATCATAGTTTGAAATGCTACGAAAACGCGCCAATGTAGCGCTGTAGCCGCGTGACCTCACTTCGTTACT